CTGTTGAAAACTACCGATTGAGTTGCGCTCCTGCCTCGAAAATCACTCGAGCGCGGCTCCCTTAAGATGCTCCACGAAGAGCAGGCAGTATCCGACATCCACTTCCTGCTCGGTCAGTTTGGCAGCGTTCTTTGTGAAGGCTCGTCCGAAACGCTGTGATGTGTCCTTTCGGATCGGTTGTTCCTTCGTAGAACGGGATTCTCACCTTCCCGGGCTCGGGAATCCTAGCCTCCGTGATTCTTGTCGTGAATGGTGTTCTCTGGGTTTCTTCAAGCATCCGATCGATCTCAGGCGCAGCACTCGTCGCGTTGTGCACTTGAGACTTCATGGCGCGTATCTCAGCTACTATCCGAGCCATTGAGGCTCGCAGCTCTTTGATTTCGAGAATTTGCGCGTGAGTCATTCCCTTTGATTGGGGAGGTCGTTCCCGCTCTTCTCTCCTCGGGTTGTCTTCGCGCTCCGCCTGCTCGATCCATTGGAGGTTTTCTTCTTCTTCAGTCGGGTTGTCGCCGCGAGTCGGATCGGTGATTTCGTCAGTCCGAACGCCGTTTAGTGCCGAAGCGAGCTCTTCTTGGCTTATTCACCGAGCCGAGTCGTTTGGTTGCGAGTTCGTGGTTCCATTGTTCTGCTGGGCGTCCACGTCGATCGCGTCATTCTCCTCTTCGCCGACTCGTCGCCTTGGGTTCCGACGGAGTGGAGGCAGCTCGGTCATGTTGACTCGGGTTGCCACGGGAGTCTGTTCGCCGAGGGACGAAACATTGTTGGAGCCAAGGGGTTTCCCGAGGCCTCTGCAGGCGTTGAGAAGTCGAAGCGTCTCCGGATTCCATCCATCGGGTCGGGAATTCCGGGTCTCCAAGTTTGTCGCTCAGCCGCCATCGCGTCGAACCTCTCCGTAATCGCCTTGTTTCTTTTGTCCTGCTCGTCGATTTTCTTTATCAACGCAGCCATGATGTTTCGCATCTCCTCTTGGGTTTTGGTCGTTGCTGTCGTTGTGCCTGATGCTGAAGCATCCTTCTCCGTGCCGTTACCATCGTTGTTGTTGTTGTTGTTATCGTCGAGGGTGTTGCTCGCCATGTTCTTTAGATCTTAAAGTCTTGTTGATTTAGAGTAAGAAAATTTTGATTCCCCACAGACGGCGCCAAATTGTGTGAGCCGAAACTCGCACAACCAAGAATTTGTTAAGGAAAACTTAAGGGATCGGAAACTTCTAGGGTTTATCGCAAGAACTGTAAGATCGAAAGAAGGTTTTTATTGCTGTGAAAGTGTTTAGTCTTTATTGCTTAGGGTTGCAAAAGTTACATAATGAATCGTGTAAATCTCCTATTTATACTGACTCCTTAAACCGCCTAGCCGAGAATCTCGGGAGAAATTTTAGGAATATTTTCTTATCTCTTCGTGCGGCCACCGCCTTCATATTTTGCCTAGGGTTTCTATGGGCTTCGTCTCTCAAGGCCTTGGCTCGGCCCAATTGTGGGAGGAAGTGGCTCAGCCCATTTGTAATATCGAGCACGGCTCGGCCCGTTAGCTCTTTTGCACAGCTCGGCCCATCGAACATCCTTCACGCGGCTCGATTCACTTACTTCCTCCTTACGGCTCGGCTCGTTCACAGCTCGGCTCATTCCTCTCGTGCGCGGCTCGGTCCACTTGTCTTGGTGAGCACGGCTCGGCCCACTTGTTTCGTGGAACAGCTTGGCCCATATTTGGTGGGCAGTTGTTCCTTCTTGCCAAATCGGTTTTCTCCAATACTTAATCATTTTTTAGATGGTTTTATCCGCTTGGGGTGAAACCGACCCCAACAGTTAGCCCCCCAGCTCGTCGGTTTCGGAGACGAGAGTGCCGAGGTTCATTGTTCCTGGACTTGAGATAAACCATCGAATTAGGCCGTTGCGAAGCGATTCCAGGTGAGGCGTTTTGGGAACAAAAAATGCCGAGCCGTTCATCGACGAAGCGAAGTAGCGAGCTGTTTTTTGACGAGGCTGTTTGCGGAAAATGCCGGCTATGTTTAGCGACGAGGCGTTTCAAGATAAAGATAATGCCGAGCCGTTTTGTTAACTACGAGGTTTTACTTCTTCTCCTTGAGGAGCCGTCTTCTTTCCTTTACTCTTCTTTCGGACTTTAACATTGTTTAAAACCCTTTTTGTGTTTTCGATCAGCTCCTAGATTTGGTCCTCACTAGTTTCTGTTGCGTCAGGTGGAATGATGATCCTGATCTTTGCAAAAGCTTTCGGCTTCTCCTTTTCTTTCTCTTTTGGCCGGTTTCCTTTGCTTGGAAAATCATCTAGGATAGTCGGGTAAAACCTTCTGCTATCTACATTGAGAAAACAGCATGCCGGTTTGCGTGATCGATTACTGCTCCTACGGTAGCTAGAAATGGTCTTCTGAAAATCAGTGGCCTCTCCTTGTCTCTATCCATCTCCAGGACTTGGAAATCAGCTGGAACAATCTTGTCTCCCACTAGAACTTGTAGATCATGAATCGCCCCTTCAGTATATTTTTGAGATGAGTCTCCAAAGATAACCTTAACCGTCGATGTCCTTAAGGTAATTATGCCTAATTTTTCGGCAAATGTCTTTGCCATGATGTTGACATTGGCTCTGGAATCGCACAGGCAGTCTGTGAACTTCATTCCTGAAATGAAACATTGGAAAACAAAACGTCCCGGATCGTCGGCTTTTGTAAGCCTTTGAAACGGTGATCGTTGAGGTACCTTAAATGGCGGCTGCTTGGCATCGACATCCTTGTAAAGTGGTACAAAGATTGGGGTTTCTTCTTTCTTTCCATCGGTTCTGGTGGTTTCTCGGAGGAACCTCATCCTCCTCTCCATCTCATCGAGCATGATCACCTCCTCTGTGATCATTCTCTTCATTTTCTCCATGTTCGGACCCGTCTTGGTCCATATTTAAAGCTCGGTTAATAGGATCTCCAGGCTGGTCGTCGTTGGCCATTCCTTGCGTTCATCTAAGTCTTTGAAGTTCTCTTTCGTGTCTGTCTATCTCGTCTAGAATTGGAATGTTTTCTACAGGTCTGCGCCTGGTATTCATGCAATTCAGAGAAAAACAAAAGAAGGGAAAGATGATTCAGCAAAACTTTAAGAAAGAACTAGAGATCAGGTGTCTAGAACAGAAGTTAAAACAAGAAAAATATCAAAAGGCAGCGAAAGAAATCCCCGGCAACGGCGCCAAAAACTTGATGCGTGTCAACTGCGTGAGGGAACAAGTTTTACCCTTAACAAAAACAAATGAAAGCCGCAAGTGCACAGCTAATCAGTTGTAGTATTTAGGGATCGAATCCACAGAGATTTGTGTGCCTGGTATTCTTCTACGATTTCTAACTTTATGTCTAGACTAGATTGGTTTTAGAGGTTGGTTGTTTTTCACGGATTAAACTAAAACTTAAAGAAAGCAAATAAATCTATCCTAGAAAACAAGTAGAAAAATGGAAAGGAAAGCAAGTGGAGCAAGCAAAATATCGAACTAAAACAACGGAAATGCAGATCTAAATAAGCAAGTAAAAAGCGATTGGTTTGTAAACTATGGCTAAAAACGCTGAGCTTTCGGGAACTCTACAGGGATCATAATCGGTTTTAACACTAGGGTAGATAGATTGGGATTGACGGATATCGATATATAGGGTTCTAGAGCTAGAGTACGGCGGTATGACTACGTCACTGTCGTGATCATAACCAACTGTCTCTCGCAACCCTGACCAGTAGGTTTCCACTCTGGCCCTGTAAGGGAGAGAACGCAAGAGCTACACAAGACTCGTCAATACTCACGATCTCGCCGCAGGTACGTTTCCACTCCTATGGAAAAATCGCCTGTTTCATTCTAGGGCTGATACTTAATGAAAACTTTTGCAACACTAACTATCTAGATCAGATACTAGGTGATCAATCAAGCATACATGCAATAAGAACAAGAATAAACAGAGAACAAAGTTGAAATCCCAGATCTATAAACATAGATGTCTTAATCGATTATGAGAGCCCCTTTCGGGAACCCTAAGCCCAACTCGGGATCTACTCAGACATGGCTGAGGTCGACATCATCATTGGTTTTAATAAAAGTAATCAAAAACAGTAAAGAAAAGAGATGAAGAAAGCTTCTGTATTGAAGAACTCGGACTTGAACAATCTTCTACAAAAATCGCATAAAAACGGCTAAAGGAAAAGGGTTTCTGTAATGTAAGAAGGGTGGTGTCTAAAAAAGACCTAAATGACTAGTATTTATAGTCTTCAATACTCCATGGTCTCTAGGGTTCCGGAACTAAGGCTGAGAATGACTTTGGGCGTCAGAAATATGGGCTTTAGTTCAGAGTTAGCCGGCCGCGGTCGGGAATGACGTGACTGCGGGAAATAGGTGGCTGGCCGCGGTCAGGAGGCTTGTGACCGCGGGGAATGGGCTGGTGGCCGCGGTCGCGTGACTTGCTGGCCATCTTCGAGTGGCTCCGGGGCTAATGGAATATTTTGAGATCCAACCGTTGGAATGTCTCCAAACCAAGTGCATTTGAAAGCTGGTTGATTCTTCTATAAGTTGTCCAATTTTGAGGGTGATCAGACGGTGAGAAGGTCTTCTTCTCTCAATGAGAGTTCTGACGGTCTACATTTATCCAAAAGAGTCTTGTTGTTCCAATTTGTGCTTCTTTATCCCAAATTACCTGAAAAGTCTTTTAAAATCCGAAAACATAGAAATCCTTTGAAAACCTTTGAAAATGGAGTAAAAACACCTGTAAAAGACATTAAAGTGATCCATAAAAATGGTCAAAATCCGGTGTTATCAACAACCTAGACCTTAGCTTCCCAGGGAATAGCTTAAGTCTTGAGTTAAACAACAGCACTTGGTCCCCTTCTTTGAACTCTCTCTTGTGAATCTTCTTGTCATGGAGCGCCTTAGTCTTTTCATTGTATATTTTAGAGCTTTCAAAAGCGTCTAACCGGATCTCCTTAGGTTCATGTACAACTCTCTTCTCCTGAGCCGATTTGATATCAAAATTCAAAAGCTTCACTTCCCAAAATAGCAGGTTAAACGGTGAGGTGCCGATGAGGGTTTTGTAGGTGGTCCTGTAAGCCCATAAAGCATCATCAAGTTTCTTGTTTCAATCTTTCCTAGATGAGCTCACGGTTCTCTCCAAAATTGATTTGATCTGACGGTTTGAGACCTCCACCTGACCGCTTGTTTGTGGATGATAAGGGCTAGCCACCTTGTGTTTCACTCCATGCTTCTTTAACAGACTCTCAAGAGTCTTATTGATGAAACGGCTACACCCATCACTGATAACTACCCTGGGAACACCAAATCTTGGGAAAATGGTGCTTTTAAAAAGCTTGACCACAACCTTAGAGTCATTGGTTGGAGATGCAACCGCCTCTACCCACTTGCTCACATAGTCCACAACAACAAGTATATATTGGTTCCCGTATGAACTTACAAAGGGACCCATGAAATCAATACCCCAACAGTCAAAGACCTCTACTTCAAAAATCGGGTTCTGAGGCATTTCATTCCTCTTGGATATGTTACCGTGCCTTTGACAAGACTCACACCTCGAGACAACATTTTGGGCATCTTTAAACATCGTTGGCCACCAAAACCCACTTTATAAAACCTTGGTGTTGGGGTCGGTTTCACCCCAATCGGTTTAAACCACCTCAGGAATATCGGAGAGCCGATTTTGCAAGGAGAATCAGCGATCCATTAAGTTTGGGCCAAGCCGCGCACGAGAGGAGTAGGCCAAGCTGTGAACGGGCCGAGCCGTGAGGAGGAAGTAAGTGAACCGAGCCGCGTGAAGGATGTTCAATGGGCCGAGCTAACGGGCCGAGCTGTGCAAGAGAGCGAACGGGCCGAGATGTGCAAGAGAGCGAACGGGCCGAGCTGTACGAGAAAGCAAATGGGCCGAGCTGCATAAGAAGGAGAATGAGTCGAGCCATTTTCTTCCACAATTGGGCCGAACCAAGGCTTTGAAAGACGAAAGCCCATAGAAACCCTAGGTGAAGTATTATGACGGTGGCCGCACGAAGCGATAAGGAAATATTCCGAAAATCTCTCCCGAGATTCTCGGCTATGCGGTTCAGAGAATTAGTATAAATAGACGATGTATACAATTCATTCCGTAACTTTTCACGACTCGAGAGCAGAAAAGACTAAATACTTTCACAACAATAAAAACCCTCTTTCGATCTTACTGTTCTTGCGATAACCCTAGAAATTTCGGATCCCTTAGTTTTTCCTTACAATTTTTTTGGTTATGCGAGTTTTGGCTCACACAATTTGGCGCCGTCTGTGGGGAATCGAAACTTTCTTACTCTCAATCAACAAGACTTTAAGATCCGAAGAACATGGCGAGCAACACCCTCGACGATAACAACAACAACGATAACGGCGCGGAGAAGGACGCTCCAGCATAAGGCACAACGACGGCGACGACCGAAACCCAAGAGGACATGCGAAACATGATGGCTGCGTTGATGAAGAATATCGACGAGCAGGACAAAATGAGGCGATTACAGAGAGGCTCGACGCGATGACGGCCGAGCCACGACACGCAACTTGGAGAGCCGGAATCTCCGACCCGATGGATGGATTCCGGAGACGCTTCGATTTCTCAACATCTGCAGGGGCTTCGGGGAGCGGCACGAGAAACCCCTTGGCTCCACCAATGTTTCGTCCCCTCGGCGAACAGACTCCCGCGGCAACCCGGGTTAGCATGAACGAGCCGCCTCCACTACGTCGGAACTCAAGGCGATGAGCCGGCGAAGAGGATAATAACGCGATCGACGTGGACGTCCAACAGAACGATGGAACCATGAACTCGCAACAAAATGGCTCGGCTCGGCGAATAAGACAAGAAGAGCTCGCCTCGGCACTAAACGACGTCCGGACTGACGAAATCACCGATCCGGCTCGCGTCGACAACCCGACTGAAGAAGAAGAAAACCTCCAATGGATCGAGCAGGCGGAACGCGAAGACAAGCCGAGAAGAGAAGAGCGGGAGCGACTCCCCCAATCAAAGGGAATGACTCACGCGCTGAAATCAAAGAGCTGCGAGCCTCAATGGCTCGGACAGTAGCCGAGATACGCTCCATGAAGTCTCAAGTGCATAACGCGATGAGTGCTGCGCCCGAGATTGATCAGATGCTTGAATAAATCCAGAGAACACCATTCACGGCAAGAATCACGGAGGCTAGGATTCCCGAGCCCGGGAAGGTGAGAATCCCGTTCTACGAAGGAACGACCGATCCGAAAGCACACATCACAGCGTTTCGGATAGCAATGGGACGAGCTTTCACAACGAACGCTGCCAAACTGACTGAGCGGGAAGTCGATTCCGGATATTGCTTGCTCTTTGTGGAACATCTCAAGGGAGCCGCACTCGAGTGGTTTTCGAGACAGGAGCGCAATTCAATCGGGAATTTCCAACAGCTCTCCGCCTTGTTCCTTAAACAATACTCGATGTTTATGGATAAAGGAACTTCTGATGCCGACCTGTGGACGCTATCCCAAGGACCGAACGAACCGCTTCGGGATTACATGGCAAGGTTCAAGGCAGTCGTATCCAAAATAGAAGGAATAAGCGACAAGGCAGCACTCGAAGCTCTGAAACGGTCTTTGTGGTACAAATCCAAATTTCGACGGGAAATGGCACTCAACACGCCGCAAACGATTCAAGATGCCTTGCATCGGTCATCAGACTTTGTCGTAAACGAGGAAGAGATGAAGAATCTGGACGAGCAGTACGAAGCAACGAAAGCAGCGATCCGAAGCTCAATTTTGACGCGCCCCTCGAAGAAAGGCAATCCACCAAACAACGCAACAACGCAGAGCTCGGACGAACCTAGAAGCAGAGGTGCCCATAACTACCAAATAGGCACTGGACGCAGAAGAGGAGAGCCGCGCAACAACACTTGGGTTAGAAAATTCACCAACTACTACGAAAAGGCATTCTGTGAGTACCACCAGACCTACGGGCATTCAACGGCACAATGCAGAACTTTAGGAGCAAAACTCGCAGCTTAGATGGCGGCGGGAGAGATCCAGAACTCGGTTAACCTCAAAGACCTCGTCGCTAATGTACCAAAAGAAGGAGCCGAGCCGAGCGGCTCGGTAGAACCCGCAAATCGTCCCCGATGGGGCGAGAACACCAAGCGCGACAGGAGAGGCGAACCCGAAGAGCGACCCCAGCCGAAGCGAAGGAAAATTGGACAGAACCGACCGATATCCTGAATACGGTGATCTCCTTCGCCGAGGAGGAAACGGCAGGAATCGATAGACTACACAACGACCCACTAGTGATCGAATTGACGATCAGGGACCACGATGTAGCGAGGGTGCTCATCGATACTGGGAGCTCGGTAGACGTCATTTTCAGGGAGACACTCAGAAGGATGGGAATCGACCTCTCCGAGGTGACGGCAATCCCCAAACCTCTAACTGGATTTTCAGGAGAAACAACGATGACTATGGGAACGATTAGGCTCCCTGTGGTAGCTGGCGGAGTCACTACGATCGTCGAATTCTGCGTCACCGATCACCCAGCAATCTACAATGTGATTATGGGAAATTCATGAATCAACGCGATGAGGGCGGTCCCTTCCACCTATCACCTCTGTCTCAAATTCCCGACTTCAGCAAGCATCAAAACGATCTGGGGAAGTCATAAGGAGTCGCGAATGTCCTTCTTAGCGGAGCACAAGCTGAGGAACCCCGTCACCGACGCACGAGCAGACATAGATAGCAAAGAGATGAAGACGGACCGAGAGCCTGCGAACAAGCTCTCGAAACTCTTATAGCAATTACAGATCGCGGAGAGCCGCAAAACGCGCGCCGAGCCGGTATGTGATGCGGTGGACTCGGTGTGCATAGACGAAGCGCGTCCAGAACAATGCATCGAAATCGGAGCAAAACTAGAAGAACCTATAAGAAGCAAACTTCTTTCCCTCCTCAAAGAGAACATCAACACTTTTGCCTGGACAGCGGAAGATATGCCGGGCATAAGCATCGATGTGACCTGTCACGAGCTGAACGTCGTCCCAACCTTCAAACCAATCAAGCAAAAAAGAAGGAAGCTCGGATCCGAACGAGCTAAAGCAGTTACGACGAAGTGGAGAGATTGCTCAAAGTAGGATTAATCGCCGAGGCCAAATATCCAGACTGGCTTGTGAATCCAGTGGTCGTAAAGAAGAAGAACGGCAAGTGGCGGGTCTGTGTAGATTTCACTGACCTCAACAAGGCGTGCCCAAAAGACAGTTTCCCTCTGCCGCACATCGACCGGCTCGTCGAAGCCACTGCGGAAAATAGGCTGTTAACATTTATGAATGCGTTCTCTGGCTACAACCAAATCCTGATGCATCCTGATGATAAGGAAAAAACGGCATTCATAACTGATCGCGGGATATACTGCTACAAAGTAATGCCGTTCGGGCTCAAGAACGCAGGAGCAACATATCAACGGCTCGTCAATAAAATGTTCGCGGACCAGCTCTGAAAAACCATGGAGGTATACATCGACGATATGTTAGTCAAATCACTTGAAGAGAAAGACCATATCGTCCATCTACGAGAATGCTACGAGCAGTTGAACAAACACGACATGAAACTAAACCCGGCGAAGTGCAGATTTGCGGTCACCTCGGGAGAGTTTCTCGGCTATCTGGTAACTCACTGAGGCATTGAATCGAATCCTAAACAGATCAAGGCACTAATCGAGATGCCCTCTCCAAGGACGAAGCAAGAAGTGCAAAGGCTCACAGGAAGGGTTGCTGCGCTAAACAGGTTCATCTCCCGTTCCACCGACAAATGCCTGCCTTTCTACGACACCCTTCGGGGAAATAAGAAATTCAAGTTGGACGAGCGATGCGAAGCAGCTTTCCATGAATTGAAGAGTTATCTGGCAAGCCCGCCTATCTTGGCGAAACCAGTTGCAGGAGAACCTCTCTTCCTCTACATCGCCATATCTGCTACAGCTGTGAGCAGGGTGCTTATAAGAGAAGAGTGATCCGAGCAAAAACCCATTTTCTACGTCAGCCAGACACTGACCGACGCCGAGACCCGTTACTCCCAGATCGAGAAAGTCGCCCTAGCCGTCGTAGTCTCGGCTCGCAAGTTGCGCCCGTATTTTCAATCACATTCGATTGTTGTGCTCGCTACTGATAGATAAGACTTTTGAGGGTCTCAGGGCTATCAATCCCCTTGTCAATGTAGCGCAAAGAGGTTATCAATCCAAGAATGTGGTGATAGACACTAAGCTATGTGATCAGTTTCTCAATTCAAGCAAGCAAGAGTTGTTTTGGTTGATTATGACAACTACAAACTTAAAACAGGATTATTGACTAAAGAAGAACAAAACAATGACAAGTGATATGAAGAACTTCTAGGGTACTGGTCTTCTATCCACTGAAGCTGGAATCACACCATTCGGACCAGTACCCTAGAAGTTACGCTTCCCTGAATGTGAAGTTGTCCGAGGAGCCCTGAATGCTGCGAGATAGTCTTGCGACTTGGTTAACTCGCAACGCTTGAAGATAAATGCCTGGAGGTTGAGCTGCAAGTGAGAAGTGCGGGTAAGCTATCACTGGATAA